GAAGTGTTTTGTAAAATTGGGAGAATGTTTTGATATATTTGAGTGTGTATTTCTTTAAAAGGAGTGGAAGCTTTAAAGACACAGCTTTTCAAAACTTGGTTTGTTTTTTTCTTTCTTTCTTTGTTTCTATTCTTGTTTTCATCTCTCATTTTTCAAAACATCTATTTCCGATTTACCTGAAAATCAAAGGCCTACATATGAATGAATGAGTGTTTTGGAAGTTAGCTGTATAGTTCTCTTGTGCTATTTGACACATTTCTTGTTGCCATTTCCAATGGGGCTTTTGCAAATGCAGGAGGTAAGCTGTAGGTGTGTGTCTGTCTTGTTGCGCAGGAGTGAGTAACAGAGGGCTGTTTGGGAGTCTAATGCTGGATGCTTCGAGATTTGTTTCTTTTATTCGTGTCCAGACACCCAACGACCTTTGGGCTAAACACTCTAAAGTTGTTTATCTAAACTCTTGGGATGCCATTAGAAAGGTTCATAAAATTATGTTTAGTCTGATGACTTCTCCAGTTTACTTGTTTGTTTTAAATGCAGATTCAAACTAGTGGCGAGAAACTGACTCCACCATTTTCAGCCTGTCAAATCTCTTGGTTTTGGTGACACAGGAAGGTGAGTTTTTTCATAGTTGTTACTTATATATGGGATTAAAAAGCCTTTTTGTGATGGAGTGTACATTTAGTAGAGTTGAAAGGTTCCCGCCAGTGTTTTGCCATGAAGAGCACGGATAAGAGCGTCATAATAAGCAGAAACAAGGTGATATCTCTGTCTTGAAACTTGCACTGATCTTTTGAACAGGTTCATTGTGCATGTGCTGAAAGAGAGATTCTTGGATTGATGGACCATCTTGCTTTCTAAATTGAGATTTTCTTTGCAGATTGCGACTCATGTTTGCTTAGCAATAGACTTTTATCCTGCAGGGGAACTCTTTCTTCAAATGGAGAAACAACCACTAAAATTCGTTGATCAAGCTCTCCAATCCAGTGTTCAGGTAGCATTTTTCTCTTTTTTATTTTGTAGTTGTAAGATCCAGTTTTGACTGTGTTTTTTCTCTTTTCTCTCCAGTTGCAGGGGATTGCCATGAGCATCAAGGGCAGAGCCTAGGATCTGCGTTGGTTGGCTCTGGGATCACATTGCTTCTGGACACGTTTAGTTTATGAGACAATGATGGCAACTGTATGTTAGAATAAAATAAATTGCGAAGTTCACATTTCTGATGTTTTGGTTGAAGGGGATGTTATTTCCTCTGATCATTTGTCACAATATTTCCCAGAATTTATATTTATATTTATATTAGTGGTTTTATATACAAACACTAAGGGTAGTTAAGTTTTTCTCTTTAGGTTTTTTAAGTTATGGAAGAGAATGTTGAGAACGTGAAATTTGGAAGTTTCAAAAGAATAGCAGATGTTAATACTTCTGCCCCACATCACATGGAGAGGCAAAGGGCATAACATTTATTTATGACAGATGACAGATGACACGTGCAAGTTCATCAGTATCGACAAAATATCTGCCAGACATGGCAACACTTCCAAGGTCCCAAAGAATGTCATCATGGTGACATCCAAATGCATGGCACAATCTCGGATTTTCATCCTGTTAAACCACAGTTCCACATAAACATAAGAACATTCCCAGCTTGCAGACCTATAATACAGGATAAATACTTCTCCACTATAGCGATGAAGACAAGTAAGGTGATAGCATGAACTTTGTTAGCAAAGCCAGGCATGTGGTTATAATGATGGTTGGTCTGGTTGATTTGTTTTCACTTTCCTTTTGAAACTGCAGGAATAGACACGGAAGCCGAAACCACCCCCAAAGCCTGAAGTAACAAAAAGAGAGCCAAAACCAGGGATTGATCTTGGTAGTGACAAAGAGATTGCAGAAGAGCAAGTTCACACGTCCAAGAAAATGGTCACTGGCAATCTTTTTATAGATTTTTCTGCTAATGGGATATTATGCAGATTGTTGTAAGGGACAAGGATTGGTGGTGCAGTAGCATTTAGTGACCGAGATGCCATGGTTATTACTTCAAATTATATGTCCAAAATTTTTCATCACAAGAAACTTTTAGTAGTGGCCAAATGGAATGCTGTCCTTTCAAAGATCCAGCATATGGCAAGTGTTTGGCTGAACAAAACGTTGGAATACAGTCAATTCCAATCACTTGAGACAGACATCGTGCATCTCGACTTTATGTGCTGCTAAGGTAAAGTGATAGATCATAGAGAGGTGTCTCGAAATAACTGTGTACAATATCAGCCTCAAATGCTGAATGGTGAGAACAGAAAGATCATTCTTGACAGTGATTACATGTGTGCCTTTCTGGATTCATCAAAGCCAAGGTAAGCCCATTGAATTTATCTGGTCATTAACAGCATTTTCTTTGCAGATTTGTCAATGCTTTGGACCAAAACGAAGTTCTGGACTTATTTGAAGATGACTTTGCAAGCTTTGGGAGCATGCAAGACAGAAAACAATCAGTGTTGTAATGATGAGATCTCTTGTCGGTCATCCAATCCATCAATCAGCTCTTGCTGGATTTGGTCAGGAATTTCAAGCATTTTAGGATCTACTATATAGCAAAGGAAAAATGATTTCTGCAATTAAGTGGAACGTGAAATGCTTGGCCAAGGAACAATTAAAAAACAGTTCTTGCAAGAATGATGACCTCCTTCACTCATGAATGCCAAATTGCAAGGAAAGTAGAATCAAGTCAATGGGTTTTCTTAGGGTAACAGCTGTCAATGGCCGATACATCATCGGTGTATGTTCTATGACCAATATGGAACTACTTTTTCAACTATAATCCGTTGAAGGAGGTGAAGTTTGCTCTCTTCATCTTTGTGATTGTGCAAAAATGACTCATTGTTTACAGAGAAAAGAGTCCAATAATTCATTTTTTAATCTGGAAACCAGTATTGTCTGGGAGCTATCTTAATCTTGCTACTGAAGGAGGGGAGATTCACAAGCTGTTATCAGGGAGCAGCATCGTTTACTAGACTGGTATGCACGTTTTTGTTTTTTTTCCTAAAGACAAAGAAACCTGTGAAATGTGAAGCTTTGGGATTCTTGTTCTTGTTCCTGCAGAAGGCAGGATTCCAGGAGGATGGTGGTTGTGTTACTTCTAGCCTGGTGACAAGGTTGGAGCTTGAAGAGATGAGACTGGGAGTGTTGGATCTTGCCTTTTGACTGGTCTGCTGGATTTGTTGTTAAAATACGGCCTGACTGGTATGTTCTAAGTTTTAAACTTATAGCTTCACCCATGTTTTTATAGGTGAAGTTTATGAATCAGGAATGCCAACTACTGCCTGAGAAGAGCCAAGAAGAGGAGAAAGGATACCAATTTCTCTTATGAACTCAGTAGAGTGGACACTGAGAACCAAGTTTGAAATTATATCAAAGGAGACTTTGAAAGTTCGTAACCCCTACAGGCCGAGGGTGTCTATAATTGAACATTGCTAAAACACTTGACAAGGTAAATGCTCCTTTTTTCTTTTCCTGTTTTTATTTCTTTGCATTCGTCTTTTTGTGACAAAGTTTTCTTTTGCTGGTTTTGAGTGCGTCCTACAGCAATTGTTCATAGATCCTCGGGAGGCACCACCACTTTTGAGAAAGCTTGAGTAGAAGGAACTTGTTTATGGCTGTGTAGTGGACAGAACTCAATTGTGATGATGCCACACATCCCACTGGATAGATTAACTTAGTTGAAGTAGCAGGTTCAAGAGTATGTGCAGATGTAAGGGATGATGGGGAAGTCTCCAGGAGTCACTGTCATGTTGGTGCTGATCTAGCTGATGATTTCTGGTGATTTAAGAGATACACTAGGTTTGGAGCTGACAGTGTTGTAAGACATGATGGTTCAGATGTACACTAAGTGCTTCTTTTTGTGAAAGGTATATGGTTAATGTTCATCATTTCATCACACATGTTTCATCACAGGTATAAGGCACCTTTGAGTCTCCTCCAATAGAAATAAGCTCCCTGGATCTTGGGAAGCATGTCATGCTGCTTCTAGAAGCAGCTTCCAAGTACTTGATATGGCTTGGAGGCAGTGTCGACTGCAGTTGTGGAAGAGAACAGTTCTACAAAAACACTACCAAGAATCAGTTGTGGTTCTCAGATTCTAAATTTCCAGTAGATATTGGTGAGAAAAGAGGTTTGCAATCTGCAAAAAGGAGTCCTTCCAGATTTCAGACAACGAGTCACTTGAGGAAAGCTTTCACATTATCAAAATGCAAATTCTTGCACTATAACATAAGTTCAAGTTGTAGTTTTAACTGGCTTTCAATATGCTTATGAATGTATTCTTATTGAAAATTTAAACCTTATGTAACTTTTTATTTATCTCCTTACTTACAACTTAGTTTCTTACTAAATATGATTTCTAAAAGGTTTACATTTTACTATTTCATTTGACTTGCTCTTGACTTAAGAAGAATGAGAAAATCAAACCCTCTAATCCCTGAAAAATGAACCTGCAAAAGATCACAATCATCATTGAGATGTTGTGTCTGAGATGGAATGTGTACTTCACAATGTGCAACATGGAGTGGCCTGTCGTGATACTAATAAAGCATCAACCACTTAGGCCATTTTTCTAGGCAATGTCATCTCCTGCAAGACATTCTTACAATTGTGTAGCACTCCAAAGCATGGAACAAGAGCCAGACTAATGATCATTATTCAAATTTTTTATAAACATAATTCTACTGTAAATTTTTGTCATCCAAATTCTTTAGAGCATGTTATATGTTGTGAAAAGTTAGGAGATTAAACTAAATCATAGTTATATTTGAAACTTTCAGTTTATAATATAGCTAGAAGTTAATGTACATATATTTTTATGAACATTATAATGTGATTATATTCAGAATAGAGTTTTAATTATTGATAATACATGAAAATCATTTTTATATATTGTGGTTATCAAGTTATTTAGATTTGTAAAATATGTAAAGGTTAGATATCTTTGGTCTATATACTCTAGAAAATATTTAAAATGGAGAGTTGGAAGTAAGCATAATTATGGTAACAGTTGCATCCTTGCTTTACAAAGTGATAGAAATTTTATATTATACTCTAATAAGAAAGATATGTATTGTTCTATCAATACGTATTGCACTAAATGTATATTTTTAACAATATTAACTATATAGATGACTTTAAGCCCCTCATGACCCATACATCTATCTTTGGAGAAACAGTTTTGTGTTGGTTATAATTTTTGTAGACTGTAGCCTATGACTTGGACAAGAGCATACTAAAATAGGTGGATTTTCTTTGACTAAATTTTGTATTTCTGAAAGTATGTGGGAAAGAAGGGAAGTGCTATGATTCTAAGCATAATAAATTCTTTATATGAATTTTCTAAAGAGAGTTCAAATGACATTGCGAAAGATAGAAATCTCAAGAAATTAATATGCAGTTTTTGCTTTGCTTTCGTGAGACAGCCAGGATTGTGAACTTGGTGTTGCTGAATAACACATGGTGATATATGTGCCATATTTATTCATTTGTATGTGGTGTATGTGTTTCTTTTGAATGTAGATGACATTAAGCACAAGCTTTATCACTTTTATACTCCACCATGAATTAGAAGAACACTTGCCAAGTACAGGATGTCAAAGAACACTTCCAGCGAGCACAGTGGGCATAGTCAGTGGTGTGGCATTAATAGTGACTTTCAATGTACTGTCTCAATATGTAGTGTCGAAGACGTCCCATATGCTTTTGGCTGCATTTAAACTTTCCACAACTAGACTTCTACATGCACTTTTCTAGGCAATCCACCAAAGGCCACACTAATAGGCAGACTCCTACAGATAGAGCAAATACACCTTCATCTGATCCAACCTAGCTTTTATAGGACTCTAGCTCCAAAATCTCTTTACATAGCTCTTTCGAGTCAGTTCCATGCTTAAACATGTGCATCTATCTATCTATCACTTTCTTCTCTTGTTTTGGTAGAAAGTTTAGTTTTTTCTGTGTGGTTTCTTTCTTGCCAGGTTTAGAAGGATAAAACATTGTGGCTCAAAATCTGAGAAAGCTGGTTTTAATGCCATTGCATTAACAAGAACCAATTATATATAGTTTTAAAGAGCTAAACTTAGCACTTGTATGTTTTTATTTTTATTTAATGTGTATTATGTCAAAATTTACTTGCTTATCTCTTTATATTATGACCAGTCTGGATTTATATTTTCAGAATTATATAATTTAAATATATA